GGCCTCAAACTACTGAACGACGTGCTAGAGCTCAAAACGTCCGATCGGGTCGTTACATGTTGGGTCACAACCCTAGCTAGAAATTTAGCTACTCATAGTGAATATTGAAGAAAATAAAGAAGAAAAGATGATAAAACTCATAGTGAATGATTAATATATGAAAATCCAATGTAAAATCAACAATATAAACTAAAGTTGCCTAAAAGAGTAAAAAAAACTACTACAGACTTTCTGGTATTCAAAACTTAACCTAATTTTGTCAAAAAAGTCTATTTATACACAACTAAAATTTTCGGACAAAATTGCCCTTTCAGAGGTTCTACGGCCGCACAATTCTATGTGTGGTCCGCACTTTGCTTCAGCTCTTGACAGGAGTTGGATCTGCAGCCGCACAATTCTGCACTGCGGCCGCGTCTCTTGAGTTCTGCGGACCGCACAATTCTGGGTGCGGCCGCACAATTATAGTGTAGTCCGCAGTTCTAGCTGGGCTTGGAGTTGGAACTCTCTGAACCTTGACTTTTGCGGCCGTACAATTATTGTGCGGTCCGCACCTTACATTGTAGCTATGTTAATTCTTCTTCATGTTCTGCGGCCACACACAGAATTCTGCGGTCCGCACTTTACCTTTTTGTGCTTGATTTTTGTCCTTGTTCAAAAGCACTCCTCTTGAGTCTGATTTCATCGTAATGGCTCATTTTTCAATACTCCTGCAAGTAAGCATATTTCATCAGTTTGCGAAAATACCTTTAAATATTTTTTAACTAAAACAAAAGTCAAAAGGCGCAAATAAGTAGTCAAAATCCCCACTTATCAATATGCCACTGTTTTGCAGCTGCTAAGGCTAAAATAGTTCTAACTGTTTTCATTTTCACCACTGGTGAGAATGTCTCTTTGTAATCAATTCCTTTTTTTTGGCTATAACCTTTAGCTACTAATCTAGCTTTAAATCTTTCAATCTCACATGTGACCTTATATTTGACTTTGTAAATCCATTTGCCGCCTATAGGTTTCTTACCTGCTGGCAGTGTGACAACATCCCAAGTATGATTATTTTCCAATGACTTTATCTCCTCATTCATTTCTTCCACCTACCTAGAATCTTTCACTGCTTCTGAGTAGTTTGTAGGCTCACTAACAGATGAGAAAGCACTCATGTAGGCTTGATATTTGGGTGACAATTTATCATATCCTAAGTACTTGTTTATTGCATAAGGCTCATCTCTATGAATGTTCAGAGATACAAAGTCTCTCATCCATATTAGTGGATTTTTGTCTCTTGTAGATTTTCTGACAACCAACTGTTGAGACTAAATTTGTTCTTGTATTTATTATTCTGTAGCTACTTGTTTTGATGGTTTACAACTTGATTGAATATCTATGAATGATGGAGAGGGTGAATTTGTTGTTGGTGATTCTTGAGCTGCAGGTATTTCAAATTCTGCAGGCACTTCATTTTCTTGGGTGTGTTGTTCTGATGTATTATATGCAGGTATGTTTTCAGGAAGGGCATCAAATGTTATTCATGTATGTAGTGTAGGGTCTACAAATAGTGGTTCTGTTGCACTTGTGTTTCTTGAACTGAAAGGGAATATGTCTTCCCTAAATGTTACATCTCTGTTGACATAGAAAGATTGATTAACAATATCAAATAAAATGTACCCCTTTTGTACTTCTGAAATCCCATGTGTATGGCCTTCTTGGCTCTTGGCATGAGCTTATCATGTTCCTGCACAATTCTTGCAAAACATAGACACCCTAATTCTCTGAGATGTCTTGGTGAAGGTTTTTTCTGATATAATCTTTCATAGGAGGTCATGTTTCCTATGACTGAGCTGGGCATTCTATTATCAAATAAACAGTTGCTAGTACACAATGACCCCAATACTTGATAGGAATTTGAGCTTGAAATCTGAGAGCTCTAGGGACCTCTAGTATGTGCCGATGTTTCCTCTCAGTTACTCCATTTTTGCTGAGGGGTATAGGCACAAGTTCTGTGATGTATGATGCCTAGATTCTTGAATAAGGTATCACATATTGAGTTTATAAACTCTGTACTATTATCAGTTCTTAAAATTTTCACTATTCTATCAAATTGATTTTTAACAAAGTTGAAGAAATACTGTAAAGAGAGAGCCACATCAGATTTTTGCTTAAGTAAAAATATTCAAGTCATTCGAGAATAATCATCAACCACAGTAAGAATGTATCTATTACCATCGAATGTAGATATTTTGTAAGGTCCCCACAAATCTACATGAATCATGTGAAAACAATAAGTACTTTTGATGCTACTACAATGAAAAGGTAGCCTGGTTTGTTTAGCGCAGGGACACACAGTACACTTACTGATTCTTTCTCTAATGAATTGTAAACTAACATATAATACTTTTTGTAAAACTATAATAGACATGTGGACAAGTCTCTTATGCCATAGATCCACATCTAGCTGCTTGTCTAAGTTTGATCCAGCTTCTGAGGCTGCTAAGTCAATCCTCTTATTCTTCTCTATTATTTGGCTTAGTAAAATATAGATTCCATCTTCTTCCTTACCAATCTCCCTCACTTTCCCAGTGAAGAGATCTTGGAAGAAGCAAAAAATCAGGGAAAAATATGGTCAGGCATTTTAGTTCTTTTGTGGCCTTAGATACAGATAGTAGATTAAATTTAAATTGTGGCACATGAAATACATTTGTGATTATATTCCAATCTGATATAGAACTAGCACCTATGTGAGTAACCTGAGTTATATCTCCATTTGGTAGAAATACTTTCTTTGGTTTTTCAGTTTCAACTATTGAAGATATATTTAACATGCCAATATCAGAAACCATGTGATTTGTAGCTCCAGTATCTATAATCCACTCCTAAGGCTCACTAGAAACTAATAAAACTTTAGGAATACCTGCTATGTTTGCTGCAGAATTGGCTGATGCAGGGATTGAGACTTTATTCAGCATCTGTACAATTTGATCATACTGATCCTTGGTGAAAGTATAGTTTCCCAACTGATTTGTAACACTTTCTGATGATTAACCATATAAGCCTGAGTTCTGACTGTGGTTGTTGCTTGCATTTTGTTCTAACACATTTGTATTCTGCCCATAGTTGAATGCAAGAGGTGTTTTGTACCATTCTGGAAATTCTGAGAGCCAGAGGTTGTTTCTGTGAGTATATTGACTACATTTGCTCTGTAATTAGGATGATGTCCTCCAGTTCCTTTCTTCTTGAATTTGAAATATGCAGGATACTCCACTATTTTATAACAGTTTTCTTTGATATGCCCTTTTAGACTATAGAATTCACATTGAATGTTGTAGTTCTTATTGAACCTCCGAGGCTGATTGTTATAATTTTTTGAATACATAGCCAAATCATAATTCCCAGTAACTGTAGTAGGATTAGTCCCTAGCAAACCAGAGGCAGCTGGCATAAATTTTTGGCTTTCATCACTAACTATCATTGCATATGCCTGATTTATTGTAGGTAAGGAACTTCTCATTAAAATCTGACTTCTAGCTTGTGAATATGAATCATTCAGTCCCATTAAGAACTGATACAACTTCAATTTTTGTAAGTATATTACAAAATCTCTTGATTTTTCACAATCACAGCCAGGGGCAGGCACGAGTGCCTCAAATTCTTCCCACAAATCTTTGAGTCTTGAATAGTACACAGACACAGAAGCAGTTCCTTGAGTTAAAGTTGCAATTTCTGTATGCAAATTAAAGGTTCTTGGCCCATCGACTTTATTAAATCTTTCCGATAGATCTTCGCAGACAGCTTGGGCACTTGAGGCATACATAATTCCTCCTAGCAGGCCCTTAACAACTGAATTCATTATCCAAGATAATACTATTGCATTGACTCTTTCCCAATGATTTCTCATTGTATCTGAAAAGTTTTCCTTCTTGTATGTACCATCAACCATGCCTAATTTGTTTCTTCCTAGTAATGCTACTCTCATAGACCTATTCTAGATTGAATAGTTTTCGATACCAGTTAATTGAAAAGAAATGATTTAAATCCCATTTACATCGGCTGGAGACAAAAATAATGGATGATTGTAATCAACACCTATAATTGGATTTCTAGAGTTTTGAGTCACACGCTCCCCTGTGCCCAGATTTGTAGAGTTCAACCCTAATTGTTCTCCAATTGTCTCCATTGCTTCTTAATTTCAGAATTCAGAATCGACTCGTGTTACTAGTGTAAACTCGATCGATTTACAAGCTTCAATTTCTAAGCTTGTAAAGCTCTGATACCATGTTGTAATTCAATAAAGAGGAGAAATATAAATTGATATGAAAAAGACGAAGTACAGAGATGAAGAGAGATGAATAGCGAGAGATAGAGAGAGAATTATTGTATTGAGTATATTCCCGTGTGCTTACAAAATGAGAGCTTTTAAGCTTAAATAGTGATGACTACCTAACATTAGGAATCTTAACAACCTTACAAATAACGGCAAAGCTAGCTTTCTTAACAGCTAACCAGTTAGTGTGAAATGACTAAACTACCCTTTATTCTTTAGCAGAAATCCATGTGCATGTGTAAAGTTTGTTACTCCATACTAAATAATAAAAAGTAGTGAAAAATACAAATATGGTCAAAAATTACACACCTAATGATCAACTAGATGGTTGCAAATTTTGCAGATTTGAGTTTAAATTTCAACGAAGACAAAAACATACTAAAATAGTTGATTTCTTTCATCCACTTAATTTTGTAGAGTTACTCGGAAAATACTAAAGTAGTTGAATTTTTTCAGAATTCAAAAATATTTTTAATTATTTTTAAAAAAAGAACAGACCAAACAGACAGAGTTTCAGAATAAATTTGCACAAAGAGAAAGCAGACCGAACAAACAGAGTTGCAAAATTAACAATATCCTTTTTCAACAATTATTATTAAAATAAAATAATTGCGACAAAATAAAAAATATCTTTTACAAACTTTGTTTTTTGGATTTATTGCAATACTCCACCTTAAATTTCTTTGATCCCAAAAGGAACAATGGATATCAACCTCTAATTCCCCCAAACGATTAACCCTTCCTTCCTCTTTCATTCCTATCATATCAATCATGGAACTTCCCCAATTCATCGAAACTCTCTCCACATTATTCACTACAACTACTTGACATGTCTTCTCAGCCACCACCACAACAACCGCATCAGCATCACCTCCACAAAAAACCCACCTCCTTCCCTGACTTTATCTTCACTGCCTTTTCTCTCTTCATTTTCTTCTCTTCTTCTAACCCCACAACTTCTATTATCCGCAAATTCACCCCACTTATTTCTTTCCCTTTAAATCCCCGTCGATTCGTCAGAAATCCCACTATGTCCAACCCCTCTTCCACCAACCTTCGTAACCCTACCACTCACCCCTTCCCTAACCCACAGTCCCTCTCCGATTGGCTAAGGCCGCGTTTGCCTTCCGATTCTTTTTCCTCTTGGGGTGTTAAACCGGGCACCAAGAACGTTAATAACCTCTGGCTCGAGTTATCTGAAGGGGAGACTTTGCTGGCTGATTCCACCCCTCCGGTTCGAACCGTGGAGGTGATGGTTGTTCGGGTTATTGGAAAAGACAATAAAGTCCTTGTTGAATCACACCAAGAATTGTCTAACGGCGCCCATAGACGCCGGGGCCGGCCGTTATCTGAAAAGATGAAGCCTGGTGAGACCGTTGAAGATGCGGTGTTTCGTGCAGTAAAAGAAGAGCTTGGTTCAACAATTGTTAAGATTTTGCCAAATTCATACTCGAAGAAGGTGGAAGAAAGGGTTTCAGCATCGTATCCTGGATTGCCTGCTTGTTATGTGTTGCATACAGTGGATGCTGTAGTGGACGGTTTGCCTGAAGAGGAGTTTTGCACTGAAGAGACCGATGAATATGGAGATTCTAGTGAAAGGATGCTCGCTGATGGTGCAGTTTCATGTAAAAAGCATTACTGGAAGTGGGTCGATGCTGATTCGTTGTGATCACTTATGTGGGAGGTGAGTTTGAGCTCTTCTCCTTCCAAGATTGAATTTTGATTGCCAGATGGTTTAATAATAAGGATGGCTTCTCAGGACGTTGGGTTGCGTTTGGTATACTTTATAGGATATTTAAATACAAATTACATAGAAGAATTCTTGATTTAACTTTCTATATTAATGTTAATATCCATGTCAGTTATTGAGGTTTTAGTACTTAATGCGTGTATATCTTTCTAACGGCAAGAGCTCCTTGTATTATCCTGAGAAGAACAGGATGTCATTTGAAACTCCAATTGCATTGTACTTTATGGTGCGTCCAAGTGGAAGTAACTTGACATTTACCAGCTCTCAGCCAAGATAAATAGATGTGTGCTTGTTGTAGTGGGTGAGCTTGTCTCCTACCACTTGAGATGATTTCTTTGTCTAATTTTTCGTGTTAGGTACCCATGATCACTTTAGTATTGTAGGTGGATTTTCCGCCTATATGCTCTTCTATATATGTTTCCTCTATGTATATTTTTTGGGTTGCGGATTTTGGAGTCATTACTAAATTCATGGTAAGTCCAAAATGAGCTTAAGGTATGTCGTAGAGCCAAAGGATATAGTGACCTTTTATGTTGAATATACTTTGTCTTGCAATTGAGGGGATGGCTTCAGGTAGCTGGGAATTCTAAACTAGATGTCGCAATTTTACGTTAAGGACTTTAATCAGAGGCGGATGTAGTGTATTAACTACGGGTTCAACTGAACCCATAGCTTTCGACGCGGAGTAAAAATTTGTAAGTAAAAATTCATTAAAATTGCAAAAATAGTAGATTTGAACCCATAACTTTAAAAATATAATGGGTCCAATGCTAAAAACTTTAAAATTGAACTCATAGAATTTAAATCCTGGATCCTTCTGACTTTAATTGCAGGCGATCTATTTCAATTTCAGTGGCACACTTTCATCTTGATTCAGGTAGTCAAACAAATATCAGTACCTGGATCAAACAAGTTTAGGGGTCTAGTCCTGACCTACGACCTGCATTGAAATTTTTTCTTTACGGGGTTTATATTGCTTCTTGTTTANAAGAGTGCATGGTGGCCATTGGCCAAGGTCTTATGAACAACAGGGCTGGTGAAAGAGTGATTTTGCTGGTGGGTACAATGCTGAATCTGTCAGTACTCGGGCAGGTTTAGAAAGGAAAAGATTATATAGAGAAAATGTTTATAGGACATCATATTCATCATTTATTTTTGATAAAGTAATGAGTTTTATTAATGTTTGGGCATGGTCATATACAAGAGGTTGATAAACCTCATCATATGTGTGAGCCCTAGAAAAGAGCTGTTAGGGGGCATTTGGTTCGCCATATAAGGAAAACTAATCCCTACATAAAATTCTGTTTAGCCAATACAGCGTTTTGTTTGTGTTGCGGAATATAAGTTTTGTATGTTCAAACCACATGGAGTGTGTTGCCTGATGCTAATATGACATCTTGCAGCCACTCATTTGGTGCCTGTGCTTTTATGTTTTTGCTTGTTTAGGAGGTGACAGGCATAATGAAGAATCGAGGTCTATGTTCTTTCATTATCTTGGGCTTATTGGTTTTCCAGCATAACTGAATCATGGTTACTTCGGAGTTATAATATTGGGGGTGCTAGTGATAAAATTTGAGAAGGCTTAATACCGAACGTTCAAGGTATAAACAATACATCTTTGTTTCAAGGTTGTAACTCTGTAGTTTTTTTGAATCTCTTGAGAAAAAAATATGATTTGCCCCTTTTTGTTGTTTTTGAATATCATGCATTTTTTCCCAGGATAGGAAATTTAGTCTAGTCATCCCTTCTACTTCAAAGTTTCTTTCTTCTGGCATGCACTTCCCCAAAGTCCTACTATTTTAGGCGGAGTATGTAATGCACTCACTTAAACTTTTTCTTTTGCTCAATAGAACACCACCTTTGGTTTGTAAGATCCTTACCTACTTCTTAGAGGAAAATAGGTATGGTTGACACCATTAAAGGTAGAAAAGGCTGGAATTAGGGAGTAAAGGAATGGGAAATAAACATTCGATTTTTAGGGTGCAGCCCTTCTCTGGACTTTGCATGAATTCTGGTACTTCATGCACCGGGCTGCCCTAGTTTTGTGGCTTAATTAGCATAAAAGTAGATAATGTTGCCGATGGTGTATGAAAAGAATTAGTATTAGTTAGGCTTTATATAATTCTTTGAGTGTGTTGCTCCTCTAATTGACACCAATTTGAGGATTTTGAGTTCTTCAAGGCCTCTCATGGCCTTAAAATGTTGTGATTAATAGGCAACTCATAAGCATTTTCTTAGCTGAAGATGCTCCTCAATTCCTAGTTGTTGTAAATTGGTGCTGTAGAGCAAGTTCTCTTCATTCACGTAATGAGATTTCTTTATTATCTGTTATGTAACACGCTGAGGATGGAAACACATACTGGACAATTGGATTAAAGTTCACTTTCTTAGGATCCCTCCAAATGCTTCTCCTGCCCTAGGTTCCCAAAATGTTAGGCTGATTCAGGTTAACATCTTTGGGCATCTTTCTGATCTTTTCATCTGTGAATCTCTTCTTTTTTCTAAGGGCTTTGGTAAAGTGTAGGATGAGTTATCCTGGACGGTTAAACTAAGCCTGATTGTTAAGGTAGCGTTCTCTTCTCATCTTTTTGCCTTGGCTTCTTTTTCTGCATATGTGACCCGTAACTCCTCGCTCTTATCCTTGCTTACCTTGTTACGGCATCTTTGATATTTAACATTTGTGTAAATTTTTGTAAAAGTATCTGCTGCTGGTCATGATTGGGATTAGAAACTTTGAACATTATTTCCCCTGAATTGGATAGATCGGGAATAGATCAAATGAGTAGTCAAATGGATTTTAACGAGTTGAAATAAGTGTGAGGAATAACTCTTATTGGGTTGAAGAGCTGGAGAATTTTAGTTTTGAATCCCTCCAGTTTTAAAATAGTGAATTTCTCTCTGATGCTATTTGTGTGGTCATATTGAATATAGTGTTGTTATGAGCTCAAGTTAAACCGTGGAAATGGTTACACGGAGTATTCTTTTTTTATGTTTATTGATTGATTTTTGTTTTTTGGATTGGCGAGAATGCCAAACCATATATCATGAGTAAGAGGTTTGTTGTCGGGCAGATTTGCATTGTGAGATCAGTGTGATGTCCGAGACACAGGACTACGAGTAAATTATACCTAATAGGAAACCTGTGTCAAACGAATAACTTTAGTATTGGAAACCTAAGTGGTTAGAAGGAAGGAAGTGCTTACCTTTTCTGGGGCTTGATTTTAGTGCTAGGGAAGTGACTGGCAAGATGTCTTGCAGCTATTTGCAAGATGCACTTATTGTGATTGTCATTTTCTGTTTTCTGGGTATTAACACCCCACAGAAAAAAATAAAAATTACGCAGTGTTTAGTGGAAATCGTCGACTGTTGCCTGTTGGTTGTTCTATATATCAGCATCTTACATCTTTAATCTCTTCAGTAATAGTATCACGCGAGTTAACGTTTTTATTGTGTCTGGGTCATGGAAGTGCAGTCTCAAGCAACATTGGTGGTCATAGTTCTTTTCCTTGCTGTAGTTCTAAATTGTCATGGGGAAACTTCCCCAAATCCATCTCAAAAAGATGTACATGTCCTGTAGCTTTTAAGTTTGTGAACAGTTGGGACTTGGGAGTAAGTGGCTTTAATAAGCTATATTTGCAACAATCAAATTTCGGGTGCGGTATAACCAAAGGCTCTATGTGAGCTCAAAGGCACAAAACAAAATTATGTGTTGGATATATATAAAATTAGCTTATCAAAACTAAAATATAATGTAGCGGTCTTAAATGTTTCCTTGATTGAGCTGATTTATTGGGTGCAGTCATTTCAACCATCATAAATCAATGAATAAACCAAACAGCGGAAAAGTAGGAAAAACTATTGAGAAGAGACGAGTATGTATATGTATGTGGCTTTTAGCCACTTCGATTGGGGTGACAGAAGAAGAGGGGGTCAATTGGTTTTGTCATTTTACAAACTTGTTTTTAGTTTTATGATCCTATTTTTTTTTTTTTTTTTTTTTTTTTTTTTTTTTTACACATGGAAGCTTTACTTTTACACATAAGGGATCTAAAAAAAGACATTTTCTTAAATTCAACATTGTAAAAGGTTAAAGAAGGCCTAAAACCTGGAAGAAAGAGAGGTCCACATCTCTGGATGCCCGTTTTACATACTCAATATCACACCCAAATACAAGTCATCTTTCACTTTTATCAATAATTTAAATTGATCATAAACAAATGATATTAGTAACTTGTAAAATAAAGTTAATCTACCTGCTGTGTTAAATATATATTCGTGTAATAATCCTTTTACCAATAGTTAGCTAGGGATTGGGATTATTAAATTCTCTCGTGCTTCTCTACAAGAAGTTGTCTTCACAGCCAATCCTATCTAGCCTAAACTCGTCAGCACTGGGCACCAGAATTTGAATGAGATTCCCTGGCAAAAGGAAGCGATAAATTTCTCTTTCTGCCTCTGGTATCTGGTTTCTTATCACCAACACAGCCAGCATATATATGATATGATTTCGTCTAATAGCTTTCTACTGTAAATATTATTGAAGCGGCAAATATGGGACATATCAATCTAATCTTGGTCATCCACTGGCCTCTCTCACTACAAATTTCATTTATCTTTCCACCATCATCAATCTACTCTACAAAAGAGAAATTACAAGATAAGATAAACAAGCTAAAAAAACCCTTTTATTTCTAACTTCCCACTTATCTTTGCATTACTTTTACTAGACTGATTCACAATATATTAACATCAAAGTAACAATAACTTTCCAATTCTAATCAAGATTTACAACCATACCCAAAAAAAAAAAAGGAAAGAAAGAAAAAGATATTGTGGAAGGGCTTAGCTTGTATACGAGTTCGATCCGTGGAAACAACATTCTTGCAGAAATGCAGGGTAAGATTGTTACAAATAGACCCTTGTGGTCCGGCCCTTTTTCTGACCCCGGACATAACGGGAGTTTAGTGCACCGAATTTAGCGTGTATATTCCACGCTAATTGCGTAAATATATTATCTTCATCAAGCATCCGGTCTTTAATCGAACCCATTTGACCCTACTAATTCAAATTTACTAAGTATATATGGAGGTTTTAGCGCTCCCTACTGAAGAGCACTCCATTTCCTAGGCTCAAACCCGAGTATGTAGTAATAAATTATTGCTTCAAGCTTCAAAGAGTGGTAGAACATTGAGCTCCTTGTCTAAAAGTGAGGGGACCAGCTGGTAAGGAAGGTCCAAAAGGCATAATAGCAACACAATCTACATTGAACCTATACCTTCCAGAAACCCAAGTTCCAACTTTCCATCTTAACCTACCACTTGCTTTCAAATTCATTACCAATTTTCCAGCACTTTGGTCACGTTGCACCTCATAACCAAAAGAAGGATCCACTGGCAATCCATTCCCAATCAAAGAGGCAGACAAAAAATTACTATCTTCATGTCCTTGATAAAATGGAGGAAGAGAAGTGTAAAGAGTAATTTGCTGGCCCTTATAAGAAGCATACACTTGCAATTCATCGTAGTATATTCCTACTTTCTTGTTTGGATTCTTGGATACTAGTGTGAGTTGAATGGAGGAGTTGAGAAGTCGGCGTGGACCTGAGAGGTTGAGTTGATAAATATCAGCTTCTCTCAGAGTAAAGTTGGGCTTCNGGATTGTCAAGAAAATCGACTCAGGTATGTTAAGGCTATCTCTTCTTTCTTTTGGCATGATCCATACAAATATTCCAACTTTCTTATTTGGATTCTTGGATACAAGTGTGTGAGTTGAATGGAGGTGTTGAGAAGTTGACGTGGACTTGAAAGGTTGAGTTGATAAATATTAGATTCTTTGAGAGTGAAGTTGGATTTTGTTGGGTGGAGAGTGAGATACAGAAGAAAGATAAATGATAGAATAGAGAGGAAAATGGTAGAGAAGCCAAAGAATAACTTCTTAATTGGGAGTACTTTTTCTACGCTGAAGTTATACCCTTTCTCGTCACAATGTTTTGGAGATCTTACATCAATTGGAGACATCTGCCGAGCAAAGAAATTAAGAAGAGAGAATAACCAAAGAAAGAATTGGTGTAAAGGGCCTAAGGGGTAAGTTCACAAGGCTAAGGAAAGGAAGTGAGGAGGTTAAATATAAGGAGTGTTGTTTGAAGTAGAAAGAGCAGCAATTATTTTGTGCTTGGCTACTTTTGACTGACTGCTCCGCATGGGGTATTGACTAATTAAGTGAAATGATATTAGTGGAAAGTAGCTGAGAAATCCTACTAACTTCTGGAATGTGCTCTCTTTTCATTTCTGCAAATACGGTGATTTAATTTTTGAGTTTAATTTATGTACGGACTGATAGTATAAAAAATATACTTATACAATTAGATCACTTAAAAGGTAATTCTTGATGATTTTATTTAAGAGCATTGATTGGTAATTTTTAGAAAAATTACAACGATGCTGTAAATTTTTTATTATATTATGCATGCATATAACTTAATTAAATGGAATCGACTCAATCATCAGATTATAAGTTCATAACCCTTGCCCATTTCCATTTTGAACGGAACAGATCTACTAATTCTTTGATTTCATTTAGTAAAAGGGATCTTGAACTAAGAAATAGACCTGTATACGGTCGAAATAGATTTCGGCCTTCCTACGTTCGATCGAGTTCGAGTGTTAAAAAGTCGGAATGAGATTTTTGGGAGTGAGCTCCGAAGTCGCTACTAACGAGCTTCGAGCCCGAAGGTCGATCGAGGAGTCGGCTCGATAACCCTATCGAGCCCGTGGCCGAATCGATCCGCAAGGCACTGCTTCGAGGTCGAAAATGCGCGACGCCCATCTCGAAGGTCGGACTCGAGCCAAGACCGAAAGGCCCGACCCAGTAACGAGCTCGAGCCAGTATCGAGCTCACAGACAAGAGCCGTTGCGACCGCACCAAGAGAGAGAATCTTGGCGGAAATCAAGGAAGAGACAAGTCATCATGGGCTTTCCACTATATGTTTTATTTTATTATTTTTTGTAATGATCCTCTTCTATAAAAGGGGGAATCCTTGTAAGCTAAAGGGCAAAGACAAAAAAAATCACTTCTCAAATTGAAAGATATCCTTTTGTGTTTGCTTTACTTTATCTCATTCATTCTTATTGCCCACTATTTGCATTCTCATAGTCAAGAATATACGTATCTCTATTTTTCTACACGATTTATATCGAATTGTATCGCATATCCTTAGAACCATACACAAAATCTAACGTTATCCAATTTTTTCGGTAAACAGTTTGGCGCCCACCGTGGGGCTAAGGGTAACAGTAATCGTTTGATACAAATCTAAAGTACACGCCAGCTTACAACTTCAAATCAGCAATTGCTTTACTTATCGACCACGAAGCCGGCCTTCAAGATGAAACCAACAACTTGGCACCCGGGGCCGTAAGGCCAATTAACGATGGCACCGAGGATCGAGTCGAAGTACCCGAAATTCGAGCCGAAATACCATTGGATATCAATTCACAAATAGCTTTGGAGGCGAATCAGCGTTCCGAACCGGAAAGAAGCATTCAGGGCGGTACTCGATCCGTAACCCGAGACACCCAAAACGCGGGGGAAATCGGGGCCAGCTTACTTATGATCTTCGAGATGCTACAAGCCCAACAAGTAGCGATAGCTCAGTTACAGAGCCAAACTCATGCACAAAGCAGGACGGATTCCAATCCACTTCGAGAAGTCACCCCCAGAACAGAGCTCGCCATAGTGAAATCAAACGAGCAAGAATCGGGGACTACTCCGGAAATTACTAAATTGCTCGAAGAACTCACAAAATGAGTCGAAGCCAACGACAAGAGAGTGAAAACATACAATGCCAGGGTTGATCAAATCTCGGGGGCTCCACCAATGATAAAAGGGCTTGATTCGAAAAAATTCATACAAAAGCCTTTTCCGTCGAGTGCGGGACCGAAACCAATCCCCAAAAAATTCCGTATGCCCGAAATTCCCAAATATAACGGTACGACCGATCCTAACGAACTTGTCACCTCTTACACATGTGCCATCAAAGGTAACGATTTGGAGGACGATGAGATCGAATCCGTGTTGTTGAAAAAGTTCGGGGAGACCCTCTCGAAGGGAGCAATGATCTGGTATCACAATTTACCACCAAATTCCATCGATTCTTTTGCCATGTTAGCAGATTCGTTCGTAAAGGCACATGCTGGTGCCATAAAGGTTGCAACAAGAAAATCAGACCTCTTCAAAGTAAAGCAAAGGGAGAATGAAATGCTGAGGGAATTCGTATCCCGATTTCAAATGGAACGCATGGAATTACGACGGGTCACAGACGATTGGGCCGTACAAGCTTTCACCCAAGGGTTGAACGAGCTAAGTTCGACAGCATCACGTCGGCTGAAATAAAATTTGATCGAGTATCCAGTGATAACTTGGGCAGATATACACAACCGATACCAATCGAAAATTAGGGCCGAGGATGATCAGTTGGGAGCTCCGTATGGACCTGTGCATCAGAGCAGGACACCTACTAAAAACCAAAAGGAGATCGATAGAGAACAAAGGTCGAACAGAGACCGATATTGACTGTACGTCGCAGATCGGGTGAACAATGGTTTAACATGCAATACAATTCGGAACAATCGAAGGATTGATCGAGGGCAAAATTCTCGGGGACTTATGAGCAAGAGCGGCTTCGATAAATATGCCGATCCTATAGAAGCACCTCGATTATCAGAATATAACTTCAGTGTTGGTGCATCCGCTATTGTGTCGGCCATCGGACGCATCAAAGACACTAAATGGCCTCGACCCATGCAAATCGATNTAAACGGGTTCAATATGGCATGTGAAACCACCAAAGGTGAGATAATCCTACCAATAAACATGGCCGGAACCATCCAGGAAACAAAGTTTCACGTGATCGAAGGAGATATGAGATACAACGCCCTTTTCGGAAGGCTATGGATCCACAACATGAGAGTTGTACCTTCGACCCTACACCAGGCCCTCAAATTCCCGACACTGAGAGGTGTCAAAACGGTGTACGGAGAACAACCAGCCGCAAAGGAAATGTTCGCCATCGAGGAAACTAAACCAATGTCCTCACCTTCGCCGATAAAAGGATCAGGCTTGGAAGAAGAAAGGGACACTAAATAGCAATCACAGACATCGGCTTTGACCCAGTCAGATAACCAGATGATCGAAGAGGATGATTATCAAAGGGTCCCTCGATCTTTCGTGATTCCCGATGACTCTGACGCCACCAAATCAACAATCGAGGAACTATAGCAAGTCACATTAATCGAGCACTAGCCCGAGCGAAAGGTATACTTGGGAACGGGGTTGAGCCCCGAACTCAGGAAGAAACTCGTTCAATTTTTTATCGATAACATCCATTGTTTTGCCTGGTCCCATTTAGATATAACAGGGATCCCGCCGGACATAACAACGCATCGCTAAATTTGGACCCCAGATTCAGACCGGTGAAACAAAAGAGAAGACCCCAGTCCGAGGGAAAGCACGCATTCATAAAGGACGAGATAACCAAGCTTCTCAAAGTAGGGTCCATTCGGGAGGTGAAATATCCCGAATAGTTAGCCGACGTAGTTGTAATGCCTAAAAAAGGGAACAAACTTAGAATGTTTGTAGACTATAAGGATTTGAACAAAGCACGCCCCAAAGATTCCTTTTCGTTGCCCAACATCGATCGCATGATCGATGCCACGGCCGGCCACGAGATCCTCACTTTTCTCGATGCCTATTCCGGGTATAATTAAATCCAGATGAACTCGGAGGACCAGGAAAAGACTTCATTTGTCACCAAATATGGAACGTATTATTATAATGTGATGCCCTTCGGGCTAAAGAATGCAGGGGCTACTTATCAACGCCTAGTAAATAAAATATTCAAAGAACAAATAGGAAAATCAATGGAAGTTTATATTGATGACATGCTAGTTAAATCCCTGCGCGCAGAGGACCATTTGACCCATTTGCAGGAAACATTCGAAATTTTGAGGAAATACAACATAAAGCTCAACCTCAAAAATGTGCTTTCGGGGTCGGTTCGGGCAAGTTCCCTGGCTTCATGGTGTCACATCGGGGAATAGAGATTAACCCCGATAAAATCAAGGCCATCGAAGACATCGTCGTTGTGGACAACGTGAAGGCCGTACAAAGGCTAACAGATCGGATTGCAGCCTTAGGCCAGTTTATTTCAAGATCATCTGATCGAAGTCACAAATTTTTCTCTCTACTCAAAAAGAAGAACGA